AGCGCCTGTCCGTCCTGCACCTTCTCCATCCGTCGGGTCTGGGCGACTGTCCCGGCTCCTCTGCAGGGGCAGAGCGCGGGGTTACCCGGGGCGGGAGAGGGCGGGGCGCCTCGGCTGGCATTTAAGTGAGGGGTGTGTTGAGGGGAGGATCTGAGCCCCTGGCCCTCCTCCATCAGACCCAGGAGTCCGGGTCCCAGCTCCTCCTTCTCCCAAAATGCAGAAGTCCAGGTCCCAGCCCAGTTCCGTATCCCAGGCCTCCTGCCCCCATTTCCCCAGGGCCAGCTGAGGACCCAGCCCTGGGAGAGGGGTGTGACAAAGGCGCTAATGCCAGGGCTCCGGCTCACTAATGAGGCCCCTCCACCTCGTTAAGATCCCGCGTGGCAGGATTAGAGGCTAATTAATGAAACCCCCTCTTCCTCCCCATCCTACCGGCACTCAGCTAGGCGGTGAGGGGTGGGGGTGGGGAGGGAGGGGAGGTCCTGTTTCTGCTACTTCCTCCTCTGCCCTGCCCTAGGACACACCCTTGGGACCCTGGTATTTCGTTTTCTGGAAACGCAATGGGGGTGGGGGGCGGAGGACTGAAAGAGACCCAGAGCCAACGATGAGGAGTCACAGAGATGGGAGACCCCAGGGAGACACTGAGAGACAAGTGGCAACCCCACCTGGGTATCAGGGTGCCTTGCGCCCCTCCCTGGGGCTGGAGCAGGCGGCACAGGCTGCCAAAGCCTCCGCCCTCAGAGGTCACAGGGAGTTGGGAGTGAGGGCTGGAGCGATGTTGGGGGCAGGAGGTCAGGGTGTGGAGGAAGTGGGATGGCAGAGGAACCTGCAGGGCCAGATGCCCACCGCCACATCCTGCCCAATCCCCATCCCACACCTGGGCCAGGTAAGCACAGACGCAGAGTTCCATATGGATGACTAGTAACATGCACCACAGTGAGCGCTTTCTGCTTGCTAGGTGCTGTTATAAGTATTACAAGTTCATTTCATCCTCTCATAAGGGTAAGGTCGTACGTGCTACTATTATGGACATTTTATGGGTAAAGGAAAGGTAATAGAGAAGTATGTGTGGAGCTACACGATATGCTCCAGCACCCTTCTTTCCTGCACACCTACCCTGAGTGGGGAGCTACTGCTATGCCCATTTCACAGATGAGGAAATAGAGTTCCCTCTCACAGGCCCATACCACCCCAGATAACCCCATTTACTTCCAAGGGCCCTTCATGCCCCAGATTCCCACAAGATGCTGAGAAACACGAGTTACAGACACTCAGAGTTGAGCTCACACCCGAATGACAATTCTCACGTAATTAAGGGCTGCCTGTCTGCCAGGCATTGTTCTAAGTTCTTTATGTGGAGTCATTAATTCAATTTCCACATCCTCCCTAGGAAACAGATACTCTTGTTATACCCATTTGGCAGGTAGGAAACTGAGGCCCAGAGAGGTCTAGTAACTCACTCAACAAATTGGTGTACCCTTGGTAGCTTAAACAACAGAAATGTATTCTCTCACGGTTCTGGAGATCAAGAGTCTGAAATCAAGTTGGCAGGCACCCTCCAGAGGTAAGAGAGAATCCTTCCCTGCCTCTCTCAGCTCCTGGTGGTGGCCAGTGTTCTTTGGCTTGTGGTCACATCCCTCCAATCTCAGCCTTCCTGTTCAAATGCCTCCTTCTCTCTCAGATTTCCCTCTGTCTCACTCTTTTAAGGACACTTGTCCTTGAATTTAGGGCCCATCAGGGTTACCTAGGATGATCATTTCATCTCAAGGTCCCCAACCTAAATATAACTACAAAGACCCTTTTTCCAAATACAATAGCATTCACAGGTTCTGGGGATTAGGATGTGGCCGTATCTTTAGAGGGGGACCACCTACCAACCCATAGTGGGCAAGGGTGCCTCAAACGGTAGGACCAAAACTTGTAGAGGCAGGAGCGTCTGGCTCAGTGGTTCTCATATTTGTGTGTTGGAATCCTCTGGAGGGCTTATTGAATGCAGGCTGCTGGGCACACACCCCTGTGCCCACCCCAAGTTTCTGATTTGGTAGTTCTGGGGGCGGGGACCGAGAGGTGATGCTGATGCTGCTGGAATGGGACCCCACACTAAGAATCACTGTCCTAGTGACGGGGAGCACAAGGCTGCCTGAGCTCAACAGTCCTCACCCTCTCCCTTTGTGTCCTCGGGCAAAGGACTTTCCTTCTCTCCACGCCTTAGTGTCCCAGCTATAAGATGGGGTATCTCTTCCCCACCATACTACATGAGATGGCCCATGCCTTCCTCCTCACCCACTGTGAGTCCCATATTTTTGCTGGTCCTTGACCCTCCAACTGCCTACCTTAGGACCTTTGCACATGCTGTCTCTTCTGCCTAAAAGGCCTTCCACTCCATGCCTCCATAGATACCTTCATCTCCATTCAAATGTCACCTCTTCAGAAGGCACACCCCTTCTTGCTTTATTCTACCTGATTCTTCCCTATTGGTTCATAGAAGGCAACTGGGCCCTCCCTTGCCAAGGTCAGTTCCTGGCCCCCCACCCCATCCCCCCATCTTCTTTATCACCACACCCAGTTCTTTCTTTCTTGAACTTAGTGTGATTTGTAAATACCTCTAAGTATGTGAGTATGTTCACTTGGTCATGACCTGTGTCACCCGGTGAGAATGTCAGCTTCACCAGGGCAGGGCCTTGGGTGGGTTTGTTTATTGTTTGTCCCCAGCTCAGGGCTGACACAGACTGGTCGCTCTGTTTGTTGAGCAAGGAGGGCAAGAAGGCCGGGCCCTGAACAGGAGGATGAGGCTCTGTCCAGCCCAGGAACCACATCCAACCTGCCCAAGTCTAGCTCCCACAGCTCCTGTTGCAAAACTAGTATCACCCCCAGGAGCATCTGTGCATCCCAGGGCCCAGTCCTGCTGATACAGAGAGAGAAAGGCAGGGGTCCAGGAGGGCAGGCACCGGGGCCTGGAGGGGAAGATGGTGGTTTCTCCACCAGGGCTGCAGGGGATGGAAATCCTAGCCAGGTCAGGAGAGGGTTGAGGGTGGGAGAAATTTGTGCTAGGTTGGGTACCGCATCCCCCAGATATAAACCACTGCGCTGAGGCAGGGATGTGTGTTGAGCCAGATTCATCCTGTAGGGGGCAACAGAGAGGCAGGGATGAACTAGGGTAGAACCAGGGAAATGAAGACAGGACAAAGGGAGAAGAGGAGGAGGTGGGAAGGTGTAGAGAGGAAGACAGCTATCTAGGCAGAGAACTGAAGATAAAGACAGACAGAAGGAAAGAGAGGCAGAGAGATCTGGAGAGGCTGAAGCATAGAGACAGACAAAAAGAGAGACGCTTATGGAGACTGGGGTGGAGTTGACTAGTTCCAGGGAGGGAGGGTCAGGGGCCAGAAGGCATTACCTGCGGCAGAGGCCAGGTGACAGTCCAGGGGCAGGTGGGGGAGGACGCAAGGCATATGCACACCAAATAAATTTGTCCAGCACCAAATGGAAAGTGTGTGAAGATCTCTCCTGGGGCATTGTTTAGAACAGCAAGTAACCACGGGCTTCCTGAACATCCATCATTTCGGGCTGTTTCAATAAATCATGGTTCATGTGCACCGTAGAATACCACCCAGTCATTAGCAGAAGTGAGGTTGCTTTTATGTACCAGCTGAGGCCCACCTCCTCCACCAGAATGCACTATTAGGTAGCAAAAGGCAAGGTGTAGAAGGATGTGTCCATTATGCTAACATTTGCACAAAGTAGAACATATATGAATATATGCACGTAGGTAGTTCCTGGTCTGTGCATACATTTCTGGAAGGAGAGACAAGAAACGTGTATCAGTGGCTGCCCCTGGGGAGGGGACTGGGAGTCTGGGAGTGGGGAGGGAGGGAGGTTGACTTTGCAATTTATTCCTTTTGGGAGCCTTTACAGTTGGTACCATGGGCTTTGGTTACGTGTTCAAATATTAAATAAGATTAAATGATTAAAAGAGAGAGAGGAAGTTGGGAATAAAGGTGGAGGGAAGAGATGGGGGCAGGAAGAAAGTGAGAGAGAGTTTAACTCTGTTTAACCCAGTGGTCCCCAAACTTCTGCTGATGCCTTTGATCATTTGGGGAAAGGCTCCGAGCTGTCCCCACCTCCGCAAACCACAGGCCAGGACACTATTTACTGCCCCACCTTGTCCCCCAACCTCAATACAGCTCAGTCTTCTCTAGGAGTGACTGTCTTTCTTCTGGAGTCCCTTTTTGGGGGTCTGGCCTAGTTGCTGTGACTGGTAGCCCCAAAAGACAGAGGGTTGACACTTTCCTGCTCAGACCAGGGGTCCCTCAGGTGTGGTATTGAGGGGAGCCCTGCCCAGTCTTCAGGAGGCTGTGGCATGATGACGAAGAGGAAAGACTTCCAGGCCAAGTGCCTGGCTTCAAACCCTGCCTCTTTCTTCCTGTGTGACCTCAGGCTGGTGACTTCATGTCTCTGGTCCTTAATCTCCCAGCTGTAAATTGGGACAAGGAAGTTACAGCCCTCAGAGGGCTGCTAGGAGGGTAGCGTTGGTTTCCTGGGCTGCCATATTGAATTGCCGCAAATGTGGTGGCTTAAAACAGCAAGAATGTCTTCTCTTGCCGTTCTGGAAGCTGGAGCCTGAAATCAAGGTGTCAACAGGGACTTGCTCCCTCGGGAGCTTTAGGGGGAGAAGACTTCCCGGCCTCTTCCAGCTTTTGGTGGCTGCCCATGTGGCTCAGCTCATGGCCACATCTCTGCCTGTCTTCACCTGGCCTTCTCTGGGTGTCTCAAATCTATCTCCCTCTATTTTTCTCTTCTAAGGACACTTGTCACTGGATTTAGGGCCCACCCAGATAAGCCAGGATGGTCTCTTCTCAAGATCCTTGATCACATCTGCAAATACTCCTTTTCCAAATAAGGTCACATCCATAGGTTCCACAGGGACATATCTGATTTTTTGGTGGGGGGAAAGGGGACACTCTTCAATCCACTACAGGGTTAAATGAGGTAATACCAGGAGCTCAGCAAAGCACCAGACGCGGTAAGGCTTTGATAAATGTTAACTACTACCTTGATTTTGCTTGGCCCACATGATATTATGTTTGAATTAGTTACCTGCCTTTAAGATTCAAGAGCTTTCACATGAAAATGGGGATTTCTTGAGGAAAGTCAGAACATTTGGCATCATTGGACCAAACTCCCACAAGGCCACAGAGCTCTGAGAAGTGACTGACCCTGAGAGGGGCGTGTGTGCGACCACCCCCCACCCCCCTACAACCACCGAAGTCACCTGCCTGGCCCTCCTGGACCGGGTCTGTCCTGCTCGCTGTTGCAGTCCCACCACCCAGCCCAAAGCCTGGCTCTAAAAGCCAGTGAGGGACCCAAGATTTCAAGCCTGGCCCTCGTAAGCCGTGTGACCCTGGGCAAGGCCCTTTCCCTCCGTGGACTTCAGTCTCCACATCTGTGAAATGAGGGAAGACGTGAGATGATTCCCTGAGCCCTTCTCACGGGACATTGGCTGGAGGCAGGCATGAGGTTTGATGCTAACAATGACTTACTGCGGCCAACTGCCGTTCTCCCATTTCCCATCCTGACTGCGGGTTAGAATCACCTGGATAATTCTCATTTTAGACACCTGTGGCCAGGCCCCAGTCCACACCAAAGCGGGTTGCGATTTGCTTATACAACAGACCTGCAGCATGGCCTTCAGGCCTTTATTTCTCCCAAGACCACTCTTTCATTCATCCTTCCCCATGAGCACACTCGGTCCCTGGCTCCCAATGGCTGCACAGGAGCCCCTTGCTGGCGCTCTCAGCTCTGGCAGAAACACTGCTGCGGTGAACATCCTTGGGCTCGCCCCGTCCTGGTCCAGAGGGAGAGTTTCTTTGGGAAGTCACCCAAGAGCGGAGTTACCAGGAGATACGCATGAGCAGTCCTCGGCTGATGAAGGCCGACTTTCTAATTTTTACCAGGTTCGCCGTGTTAAAATGACAGCTCATTGTTGAATTTGCTTTTCTCTGATCACTGATGAGCTTAAGCACCTGCGCATATCCCTATTGGCCTTTTGGATTTTTTTCCTTCTGTAAATTGCCAGTTTATATCCTCTGCCCATTTTACTGTTAGGGTTGCTTTTTTACCCGTTAATTTTTTTTTTCTGTTGCAAAAAGCTTTATTGTTACCATGTGGTCCAAGGGTTGGGAGAGGGCTCCAGGATGGTTAAAAAGCTGTCTGGTGACCACAGAGAGAGGCTTCAGGCAGAAGCGCTGACACCAGAGGGGCTCCACAAAGGCCGTGGGGTTGCAGAGGCTCCTAGTCATGCTTGAGGGTGAGCCTTTGGGAGAGATACTCGCCCAGCCCAGCCTGGGGACCAGCCAGCCTGTGGAGGTGAGTCAGGTGGTCGCCCATCTTCTTGATGAGTTTCACCTCTTCATCCAGGAAGTGGCCCTCCCAGAAGTCACAGAGGTGTGGGTCTGGGTGGGTGGAACCCAGGGCATGCAGATCCAAAAGGGCCTGGTTCAGGTTCTTCTCCAGGACAATAGCAGCTTCCATAGTGTCCTGGTTTTTACCCCACTCATCTTGAGATGGCTTCTGCATGTTCTGAAAGAGGCTGCGGCCACCACACTGGTTTTGCATTTTCAAGAGATGCTCAGCACCCTCGCGCTTCTCCTTGGGCAATTCGCGGAAAAAGTGGCCCACGCCCTCCAGAGCCACATCATCGTGGCAGAAATAGAAGCCCAGAGAGAGGCAGGTGTAGGAGGCCCACAGATGCATGTTGACCAGGTGGTTGACGGCAGCCTCCAACTCGGTGGAATAATTCTGACGAATCTGGGAGCTCATGGTGGATTGGTAATAAGGAGTTAAGCTCACAAAATGGTGTTGGCTGGTCCCCGAGGCTGAGGGTAGCAGAGTGGCTGCTTCTGAAGGTTGCAACTAGAAAAAAGGTTGAAGAGTGGTCGGAGGCTGGAGCAAGGGGCGTCCCTGAGTCTGTTCTGTCCAAACACTGTTGAAGCAAGAGATGATCCGCAGGATCACCGAGCACACTGCCTAAAGAAATATCTTGAAGGTGTTAGGCTTTGTAAACATCTCCCATTCTGAAACCTATTCCATTTCCCGCAATGTCCTTCCTTGAACAAAAACTTAAATTTTTGATAAAATCAAATTGATTATTTTTCTTTAATGTGTTCCTTTGAGGCTTTAAGAAGTCCTTCTCTGCCTCTAGGTCATCGAGTATTTTCCTCTATCAACTTTATAATTTACCTTTCATGGTGATGTTTAATCTGGCTAGAGAAGCACTGTCCAACAGAACTGAGACAATAGAAATGTTTCATATCTCTACTGCACTGAACTGGGTTCCCTTTTGTTGTATTCGGTAGCGAGTCAGTTTTTACTTCAAAGAATGAACCAATTTCCTCAACACTATTATCAAACAATCTATTTCCCCCCATCAGTTTGCTCCTGCATACACTTGGGTCTTCCTCTGGGTTCTCTGGGGGTGAAGCCTGACAAATCTAGTGAAGAGCAGGGATGGAGGGTCACAATTCTGCAGTAACAGTTTTAGTTAGACACACAGCCGCCCAGAATAAAGACTACATTTCCCAACCTGCCTTGCTGCCAGGCGTGGCTGTGTGACCAAGCTCAGGCCAAAGGGGCAATGGTGAAACCTCTGGGTCATGTCCTTAAAGGGAAGTGGAGTGCCCTCCTCTTCACGTAGGAGAGGCAACAACCCTAGGATGGAGGAGCCCAAGAGGGAAGGGGTCTAGGACCTTGCTGACCTGACAGGGCTGGATCCCATACTCCTTGGCCTTTTTACACAATTGTAGCTCTCAGTGGTTCTCAAACTTGAGTGGCATCAGAACCCCTGGGAGGGCTTGTTCAAATACAAGATTGCTGGCCCCACCCAGAGTCTCTGATTCAGCCTGGGGTGGGGCCTAGGAATTCACATTTCCTGTAAGTTCCCAGGGAGGCTGCTCGTCTGGGAACCGCACTTTGAGAACCACTGGTCTGACTTGTTTCAGTCACTCATTTTGGGTCTCTGTAAACACGTCTCATCTGTGGGTGAATACATCTCTGACTCCCCCTCCTGGGCATCTGCAGTTCAGACCACCACCTACAGCACCTGCTGCAGCGCATGTTAACACTCACTCTGCCCAGAGGGGGCGCCACATCTGGTCAATAACCAACCCCTGGACAAAGGGAGTCCTCCAGGCTGCTTGGCTGTGGGCAGATGTCTGCTGCTGCTCCGCCACACTTGCCCTTCTAGGAGCCCCTGGTTCTGTAGAGGCTGGAAGCCTGAAAACCCTCTTGGTCTGACTTCCTTGCCAGTGGGAATCAGTAAGGTCCCCGCGGTAGGAGGCACGGGAGTGGGAGCAGAGGGTGGGAAGCGGGGAGAGCCACCCTGCTCCAGCCATGGTGAAGACTTGAACAGACCTCAGGGTTCAGGCGGTGCCACTGACCCTTTTGTTCCTCCAGCCCCCGGGAGGTGGCGGCCTCCTGCCAGGGCTAGGTCACTAGCCCTCTGGCTCCCCTAGAATTCCCAGGGCCTTGGTAACCAACCCCTTGTATTAACCTCCCCCATCCCCCAGGGAAAACGACTAGAGGGGCGACTGCTACCCTGGAAATCCGTCTGTGTGGGTGACAGCAGCTGGAGGGAGGCAAGGGGTCTGGAGATGCCCTCATGCCACCCAAAACTATTCTTGAAACTGCAGGCTCCGTGGAGCCAGACAGACCTCCCCCCACCACGTAATGAGGCGGGCAGGTACTTCCTGTGCCTGAGCCTAGAGCTGCTCTCAGTGCCCTGGGGCTGTGAGCGGAGACTCTGCGATGTTCTCTCCTCCACCAGCCTTACCTGGCTCTGGACTCGTGGGCATACCAGCCTCCTAAATGAGCCAGGCAGCCATCCTCTTTGTCTATTTTCTGGAACAACTTGTACAAGGTGGGAATTACCTGATCCATCCGTCTGGTAGAACTCATTTGTAAACGCATTCAAGCTCGAAGCTTTCTGTGTGTGGGGGTGGGGGGATGAATTTCGGTCTTTTCTTCTGTTCTATTTCTCCTTACGCCAGTTTTGGCTTGCTTTTTTTCCCAGAGACGTACCCCCTTCACCCACACAAACACACTCATCATCTATAGCAACAGCTGCCCGCACTGGTGTTTAAGTCTCTGTAATCAGCTATCCAGCTCATGCATGGACTTGGCCAGGCTGTTATGGGAACAGCGCCCAATCCTGGGGGACTCAGGGCCTGTGGAGGTGTGCCGTCGGGGCGGCTGCTGACAGTGGAGACGGGACTAAGCCCTTTCCACACACTTCCCGCCCACAAACCAGGCTGAGGTCCCTGGTACTGGGGAGGGCTCTGGGGAGAGGGATTTGCTCCTTGCTCTCCCAGTGTCCCCAGGAGGCCGCTGCTGCCCTCGACACCTCTCAGCGTCCTGGGGAGGATGCACTCAAAGTTCACACTGGCCTGGGGCAGTCACTGCCCAGAGCGCAGCAGCAGCGCTGTCACCTGTCAGCCGGACTCGTTTCTCCATCATCCTAGTCACCGAAAGCCAGGTTCAGCTCAGCCCCCGGGGCCCAGCCAGGAGGGAAGTTCTCGGCCAGTGGACTATCTCTGAAGCCCCAGTGCTATGTCCATCTGCCTTAGCCAATCCCCCAAAGCTCATCTGCCTGCTGACCAATTTCTTAACTTCAACTCACCAAGAATCAGTTCCTGCGCACTGAACACACTCCAGATGACCTTTAAAATAAGTCTCCAGCAAATCACAGATTTAGCAAACTGGTCACCATGGCATGTGGATTAGTAAACTGGCTGCTTCCAGGCCCAGGGGGTGTCAACCCTGCCGCCACGACGGGGAGCGTTACGGGCTGCTTGGACCTGAACTCCCACCCGCTCATGGCCACAGCCCTGGCCCCGGCTGGGCTGGAATCCCAGGGTTAGCCAGGCCTTCCTTTCCCAACCCCAGAGCTCGTCCCCATCAACACCCGCCCCCCAGATGGTCTGGACAGGGAGGGGCCTCTACACACACCGCACACACACAAAACAAGAAAATGTTTTAATTGTAAAACTAACTTGAGGGAGGGAAGGGCAGGGCTGCGCCGAGGGGCCAGGAACCTGGTTCTTCAAGCAGTGGCTCTGTCCCTGGTGCCACCCTGTGGGACAGAGACCATCTGTCCCAGATGGGGGCTAGAGTGTTACAAAATGACAATATAAATAGACTTCTAGAAAAGAGGAGGCTGTCCAGGTGCAGTAGTCATGTTCTGCAGAGGCTGGGGGTGGGTGGGAAGCCCTGACCCCTGCTCCCCACCAGCCACATAAAGGGGTGCGGGGTGACGGGAAAAGGCCACTCTTCAGACATTCATGATTGACCCCCCGCAGTGGCTCAGGGGGGAAGGGGCTGTGTGTCAGGTGAGGTCTCAGAGACACCCACTTGCAGGCTGGAGGACAGAGGCGCTGGCCCTTCCACACGTGTGCACGCACACGTGCGCGCACACACACACACGCACACACACATACACACCTTTTGTAGTGTTGTCTCTACCCCCGGTGGCCCCCAATGCAGAGTTCCAGTGATGGGAGGGCTGCCTGTCCTTCCTAGAGACAGGAAAACACAGGGGCGGGCCTGTCCCGGAGGGTGGGGGCAGGGGTCCTGGGAGCCTTACTTGCTCCCACAAGTCCCTGTGTTTTTTTAGAAGTCACAAAATCAAAACCGGAGTTCAGTAGTAGGGTCCCACACACTCCCCAGCAAGGAGGGTGGGGCCACACGGAGTGTCTCCCAGGCTGGGAGGAGCAGGGCCAGCTCCCCACTGGCCTCTGGCAGGGCAGGGGTGACCCAAAGGGCTCTTTGGTTCAGGGATGGGGCACTGGGCCTCATCTGGTGCGGTTCTGGCGCATGAGGGGCACGATGCTGGCGGGTGGGCCCGCTTTGGCCAGGAACGGGTGCTTGAGCAGCTCAGCCGCCGTGGCCCGCTGTGCCGGGTCACGCACCAGCAGGCGGTCCAGGAAGCCCTTCAGGGACGGCGACACCTGTCGAGAGGCAGGGGAGAGGGTCAGCGGTCTGAGTGCCAGTTCCACTGCTCACTCTCTATGGGGCCTCGGTTTCCTCTTCTGTCAAATGGGCTGACATCTAATACCCAGAGATGGACGCAGGCAAAGAGGGCCCAGGTGTCTGGAACTTGGCCCCAGGGGCTCATTTCCAACCCATTTTTGAGGTTTGGCAAGGAGCCAGACCCTGGAGGCACCCCTTTCTCACCAGGCAATCTCTCCACCAGGAAGGCCCCTCTCCTGGACCTGGCTGTGCTGTGTGCGGTCAGCCAGGCCAGCCCAAGCACAACCTCTGTGGGATGGCAAGGGCACAGAGTTCATGTGGACACTTGAGGCCTCGGGGACCACCTCAGGAGCCATAAACACCCTAGTCTTGCCCATCCCCAGCACTCTGCTTGGGTTTGGGGCTGGGTGGCACCTCAACCCCTGCCTGCCTGGGGGTCATCTCCTTATACCCGCCGCCTGCCAGAGTGGCCCACCTTGTGCAGGTTCTTCAGTCGGGGTGGCAGGTTGTCCCGAATCATCTTCATGGCTTTGAGGGGTGGCTCATTGAAGTAGGGGGGCTCCCCATCTACCATCTCGATCACCATCACCCCCAGAGACCAGATGTCCACCTGCAGTGGGGGAGGGGCAGCCTGAGCTCAGGGGACAATCGCAGAGGCTGGCCATGGCTCTGCCTCTGCCTCTTCGCTCCTGGACTCTCTGGGCCCGAACACCCTCTGACACCCAGCCTGCCAGACCCTATGCACAGGGTGCCCTCTGAAGGGTTCTGCCCACCCAGCATCCATCCTCTTTTTGCTAACCTCCCTGGGTTCCTTTGGTGGACCCCATCCCACCCTAGCCCCTGTCCACGGAGCATGACCAAGTTGCCTAATCAGCAGAGTAGGAGACATAGTAATTGGTTCAGGAATGGACATGTGATGCAAGCCGAGCCAATCACAGTCAACCCTGAGATTTTAACCAAAATGTCCAGGAAAACGGTGGTGCTCATAGACAGGGAGATGTGTCTGGAGTTGCTGGGGTCATTTCTTCTCCGACCAGGGGAGCACCTGCCTGAATGAAGACTACATGGAGAACATCAGAGCTTGGAGGGAACGAGCACATCGACCACTGGGCCAGAAGCCCGCCGCCCCTCCAACTTCACAGTTCTAGGGACCCAGAGCTTTTCATTTTGCTAAATCTGTTTGAGCTGGTTTTGTCACTCACTGGCAATCCTGACTGAGATGGCCCCTCAGACCCTCAAACCAGCTTCCCCTCCCAGTGTGATCCCACTCCTGCCTGAGGTCCCCCCAGATGTGCTTCCAAGGGGTCCTTCCTCATGCCAGGCACTGGGGTCAAGTCTTGCTGACTGACCAGGGGAATCTTCAAGGCCACGGGCCACAGCTCAAAGACCTCAGAGCCAGGCAGGTAGTGGCAGTGAGTGAAGCAGGTCAGCGGAGGGAAGAGAGACAGGTGAGGACTATGGCCAAGACAAAGGTGTCCTGCCCTTTCTAAATTGGAGCAGCCCCACAGCACCTGCCAACTGCTGCCATGAGGGGACGTGGCCTCCAGGTGGCCAGATCTCTTGGTTTTCCAAAAGAGGATAAAAATTCAGACTTTTATGAGAACTCTTTTTAAAGTGCCTGCAAAAGCATCCTCAGACCACAGCAGCCAGCGCCTGCCCATTCATGGCCTCTGCACCAGGCTGTCAGGCAGGGCCAGGGCCATTTGTGCTCAGCATTCTGTTCCCACTGCCAAGCACTGGGCCTGGCTCCGAACTAGTACCCAGTCAGTGATGAGTGGCGCGCGTGCGCCTACCTCTCCTCCCGCAAAACCGTCCACAGCACCGGGCCCCACCTCCCCCCAGCACTCCAGCAGTTCCAGCCTGTCACAGCGTAAACCAGTGCTGACAGTGGGACAAGCAGGCTGCCTCTGGCTCACCTCCGGTCCATAGGGAAGGCGGGAGATGAGCTCCGGGGCCATCCAGTAGGGTGTGCCGACCAGTGACTTCCTCCGTGGCACCTCCTTGCTCACCTGGGCGCAGAACCCGAAGTCCGACAGCTTCACCTGGAGCAGGGTGCAGTCAGCGGGGTCAGAGGTGCTGGCCAGGGGAAGGTGAGCAGAGGCGTCCACCTACATAACTCCTTGGTCTCAGACATGCTGGGTCTTTACCGTGCAGCCCAGAGGTTAGAGCCAGACCCCTGGGGAGCTCTGCCATCTCCCGGCTGGGGTCCTCAGGCAGGTCACCTGCCTAAGATCACACCATCTGCCTCCCTGACAGGGTCTGCACTGGGGCTCTTGGAGAAGTGGCCCAAGTCCCATGGGTACCAAAGGCTGGGTGGGGGCTTAGACCAGGGCTGGCTCCCAAAGCCCATGCCCCAGGCCCCTGCTTGCCTGCACGAAGCACGTCTTCAGTTGACATGTGTGGCAGGGACAGCCTTGCCACAGCCACGTCCCCCACGGATTTACACCTGTTTTGGAACCGTGGGCCCTGTTCAGGCTCTTGAGGATCTCTATGGACCCTCCACCCCCAGGAGACATACCCACAGTGTGCGTATGATTCCATGCTCCTGATGTCCCCAAAGCACATCTGTAGACATCCTTAGGTGTTCATGGACCCCAGCTGAAACTCCCAGTGAAACAGAGCCCCCCCTCCCGGTGACTGGCTAAACTTTCCTGGTGGAGGGTGGGCCAATTACCAAGAATTTGGTGAAGGTCAAGGGCCCCCTCCCACTGAAAATCATGTCCACTCTTGGAATATAAATGCAGGTTCTGGGCCCTGGGACACTCATCCTCAGATTTAGAACTTCAGTCCAGAAGACAGGAGACGGGACTGGAGTCCCCAGCCCATGCCTGGCTGCCCGGCCGGAAGCAGGTTCTCACATGGCCCAGAGCTGTGGCAGCCTCCCCCGTCTGAGCCTGTGCTGATGGCAGAGCCCCCTCCAGTCTGAGCCCCCTGACTGTGTGAACAGAACCCCCAACTCACTGGACTGCTCCATGAGGAACAAATAAACTTATACTGTTCCTCAAGCAACTGAACTAGGGGTCAAAGCCCATCCTACCAGCAGAGGGGGAGCTGGGGACAGGCAGGGGGAGGCCAAGCACCCCACTCCTCACCCTGCCATCGTGGGTCAGCAGGATGGAGTCGCTCTTGATGTCGCGGTGGATGACGCCCTGGGCGTGGAGCACAGACAAGGCCTGGAGCACCGCCAGGCACACGGCGGCGATCTGCTCCTCGTTCATCCTGCGAAGTGGGGGGTGCTGAGAAAGTAGGGCAGACAGGCCCTGCCCTGGGGTCTGAGGGGGACACACCCTGCTGGCTCTGAGACATGGCCCCACCCCAGGGGTCTGGAGGGGATTAGTCCTGTTGTGGGAGAGTTCTGAGGGGACCCAGGTCTACCCTGGGGAGCCTGGAGAGCCAGCAGGCTGGGTGTCATCCGCTGCCCAGCAATACCTGGTGTGGGTGACGATGTCAGTGAGGGCGCCTCCTTCCAGGAACTCCATCACCACCCAGAGCTCGTCCCCGACCAGGTAGCTGTTGTACATCTCCACCACGTTCTCATGCTGGTAGTCCCTCATGATCACCACCTGGGTGCGGGAGGGAGGCTGGGTCAGCACGGTGGAGGACCACCAGCCCCTGCCCTCAGACCTAGCCACCAGCCCTCCTGCCTCCCTCTCCAGCCCAGGCGTGGGCCCTGCCACACTGCAGGTCTGGTTCCACCCATCACTTTTGTTCTTTGGGGTCACCCTAGACTATCCTTCTACGCCCAGAGCCAAGAGATGTCAATGGCAGCTTGGGGCCTGACATCTGAACTCCATTCCGGGGGTGCTCCCCACCCCACGCACACACCACGCTGCTGATGTCCATCTCTGACCAGCCCTGAGCTGGTCTCTGAGTGGCCCTGATGACCATGCTGATGTTGGGAGAGGGAGGTGGAAGGAGAGCGCCTAAGCCCAGGGCTGAGACCAGAAGGACAAGCAGGGATCAGCCAAGGTTAGATACAAGGTAGGGGGTGGGGGGGTGGATTTCGGGGGCAGGAAGGCCTAGAAGGCAAAGAATGGCAGAGGTGAGGGAACACAGTGCTCACAAGGCCACGTTAAACAGAAGCTCCTGGCGCAGCTGGACACTGTACTCCTGAGGAATGGGTCATGGGGCTCGGCTGGGGAGTGTGGAGAGATTGGGAGGTAAGAGCCAGAGCTGGACAACTCCGGACCTCATATCCTTCTGGGACTCTGGCATCAGAGTCTGAGGGCTGCTCCCAACACAGATTCCTCTTGGGAAGGATCCAGGAGTCTGCCTGCCTTTGGAACAAGCTCTCTGGCAGTGAGCCCCTCAAGAGCCAAAGCCTGAGGTCAGACAGAACCAAAGGCCTAAATGGGGGCTGATCTCAGTATCTCAAGGGCACTGGGGCACTGTAAAGGGCCGCAGAGGGGTGTGCGGCAGCCCTCTGGCTGTGGTGTGGGCATGCCTGGGGGGCACCCCAGAGGGGAGGTGAGGGCAGGGCCCAGCACCAGAGGATGGGCTGTACAGGGGTGGGGGAAGGAGTGACAGGCTTGGGGCTGACAGGCTGGGTTGGGGGCCAGGGAGGTCCAAGGCTCTGGCCTGGGGACAAGGGTATGGAGCCTCTCTGAGACAAGGAACTTGGAGGGGCAGGTTTGGGGGAAATGCTTGGGGGCCAGTTTGGGTGTCAGGGACCTGGAAGGCCCACAGAGGGTGGTGTTCAGCGGGCTGAGGGGGCCTGGAGTGGGGGCTTGGGGAGAGGCCAGGAACAGGAGAGAGATGTGGCTGTGGGTGTCATGGGGACAGAGAAGACAGCCTGGAAAGGTGTGAGCAGGGAGGACAGGAGCTGGGCCCAGCACCTGGCCCTGAGGCACCCCAGCCCGGAAGGGCCTCTCCCACCCCCACCCCTCCAGGGCCCTCAAATCATGCTCGGAGGAGCCTGGGGAGGAGGTGGAGGCAGAGGGGAGGCGGTGTGCTGGCTGCCCACCTCATTGAACAGCAGCTCGCGCCTCTGCTGTTTGCGCAGGTCCATCTTCTTGACGGCCACCAGCCTGCCCGAGCTGCGCACGGTGGCGATGCAAACGATGCCCGTGGAGCCCTCGCCGATCTTGATGAAGTTGTCCAGGTAGGAGCGAGGGTCGCCAGGGTCCACCACCAGCTGCAGGGCAGCCCGGAACTGCTCATGGGACACTCGCTGTGGTTCCCGCTGTGGTGATCGGGGGCCGGGGGGCCCAGGGGCAGGAGGCACAGCGGGGGCAGCGGGGGCACGGGCTGGAGGGGCCAACTGGGGCTCAGAGGCGTGGGGGCCCAGCACACCAGGGGCCGTGGGGGGTCGCCGGCGGGGCTCGGGGCAGGGGGGGCCCGGGAGGGAAGGG